CAGGTTGAGCACTGCTGCAGTAGAGAATCCAATATGCATTTCAAGCACATACATCCATGACATTTATAGCAATCTACAACAGTAATGTCTAACATAACGTATAACTAGTCACTGTGGGGAAAACCTGGCCTTACTGAGCTCAATGAGATTTTACCACTGGGTTTAATGTGTCAGAAATGTATTCTGCTTGTTTATCTGAATGCAATATTAGTTGAAGCAAGTATTATTTATCAGCAGGGCCGTCCCTAGAGGGGGTTAAATCAGGGCGACTGCACTGGGCCCCACGCTTTGGGGGACCCCGCGGAGCCAGGAGCAGTGGTGTGGTGACTCCATGCTGCCGCTGGCTTCACGTCCATCTCCTCGCCCCCCGCCCCCCCAAGCCGGCTTCCTCACATCTGAGGGCGGGGTCCCGCACAGGCTGATTTGCCCTGGGCCCTGCACCCTGCTCGGGTCATCTGCTTATCAGTTGTTTAAAAACAGCCTTTCAAATTTTTCTATGAATTTTTTATGTAATTTTTGTTATAGTCCTTTTTATCTTTTTTTCTTGTTCTCTTCTGATGTGAAATACCTTCCTGGTATCAACATTAATGTTTTATTGAACCAAATGCCTTTTGACACACATCAACGGTAACAAAAGACAATCTATCTTGACTTTAGAAAAGAAATTGTGAGCCCTATTTTAGCTTCACAAACTACTCACCTGTTTGGTAATCTGTTGTTTGATTGGTAGGAAAGTCATTACAACTTAAATACTTGGTAAATTGAAAGCTTTGGGGTCCCTATTTAATATCTGTATCACTTTACATTTGATTTCCAACCTGTTTCTTCATCATTTTCTTTTCAGAGAATGCCTACAATACATACAATTTCTCCTGTTTTCCTCTAACTGGTTTTGATTCTTAATAAAGTCTAAACATAGGGCAAAACTGTAGTCCCAAGAGCTTCTGGAATATGCGGTAGGGGGAAAACCTTTAAGTGTTTGAGAAGAAGACATTCTTATGAAAGCAGAAGTCTTCCAAAGTACTGTGGGAAATATGCTGAGGTGTGGGATTTCACACACCTTTACAAGGGTGTAGTCTGTATTCCTCTAGTGCAGATTTGTTGGTGCTTACTAATGCACAGGAGGTGAAGCTATTCTACTGCACTATGCATACCACTTCTAGCATCTCCTCCCCATCCCTGATACATCTGCACCCTTCCCCTCACATACTCCAGTCCCCTTTATACTAGGCACATCTGCACATGCATTAATGTGCTGTTGCTACTGCGCATTAAGTTTAGTACCTCTGGGTGCCTGTACATGAGTGGGGAGGCCGCTCTGACACGCTGTAATTACAACATGTCAGAGCAGACTCAATTAATCAAATCTGCTGGAGCGTGGCAATTACTGTGCTCCAGCAGAATCCTGCATCTTGTGTATCAGCATCTCCACATTTCAAAATGGCGGCGGGGGTGCTTGCACTAAAGCTTGTGCTGATACACAAGATGTTGCACTGCTTTAATTAAAGTGGCTCTTGGAGCCCCTCTAATTAAAGTGCCACCCGCCAATCCCCAGAGCATGTGTCAAAGTGCCCTCTAATATGAGGTACAACATAAATGCGCAGTAGCTGGTGCTAATGCGCAGTAGCAATTGTGCATGTTCTTTGTGTGACAATGCACAGACGACTAATTCTACTGCGCATTAGCAGTTTTTGCCGTGATGCACTAACGTGCAGTAGAATTAGTCTACTGTGCATTAAGTGTCTCACGTAGATGTGCCCACTGGGTGGTAAGGAGGGTGAAGGTAAGGAGGAGTGAGGGAGTGGTGGCACTGGGATTGCAGCAGTGGAGATCCTCTAGGGGCTTCTCCAGTGACTCTGATTTTCCCACTGCTGTAAGTTCACTTTGTCCTTTATAAGCAGATTTTTGCACAATGAAAAGTGCATTTTGTGAACAAGGGAATCTGGTCCACTATCTGAAGCATGACTTATTCCAAAATGCTGCTTAAAAATCACGCTCTTATTTTATGGGCTCCATCTTCATTGGCTTGGTGTATAAAAGGACATTCTGTTTTCTTAAGGACTTGCCATGTGTGGCTACGCAATCCAGCTTGATTACTTCACATGGACCAAATCAAGCTCTGTGGATGGCGAGCTGCATATGGGAGGCTGGATCCTTTGGCTAGCCTTTGAGAAAAAATGAAAAGCTTCTGGGTGCCTGCAACCTATGCTGGTTTGGAGAATAGGTCTGCTTTGATTACTTAGCCATTTCTTTTTCTTGGAATCAATGAACTGCTCTGAGAGAAGGGCCTGCAAGAGACTTTGGTGGGCTTTTAGTTCTCTGGCTGGGCAAACAAGCCAGCTGGCTATACTTGGACTGAAAAGCAAAGTGTTGCAGTTGATCACAAAATGTGAGCACATAGTATACTGTCTGGCTTCCACCCTCACACAAATATTTTGTGATTTCCCTTAAACCTTTCAGTCCTAATTGCAGATATAAGTTGGCATTCAACAGGAGTGGGTAATTTTTTATCAGAATAATCCAGTGCTTCAGAAATACGTTCTGTTATATACTTTATTTCTGATTGTATTTGTCAACAGACGAATTCTACACTTATATTATATTTTTGCTAAATTTTGGGGAGAAAAAATAAGCAATGAAAGCAAAGCATTGGATAATGAGATTTGGGGATATGCCTCTCATTCTTTTATGTAGTGATTCCCAAAGGGTGTACCGGGAAATGCTATTGTGCTGCAAGACTGATGAAAATGTACTCCAAGGATCTCCCTTTGTGAGGAGATAAATGCTCTCCTGCCCTGTCTAGCACCCTGCACCTGCCCCTGCTACTCCAGCTGTTCCTGCAGCTGTTCCTTTTGAACTGTTGCCGCCGCCACTGTTTTTCCCTGCACTTCCCTACCCTGAGGCAGCCCCTGTGTTGGCCCTCACAATGCTTCCAGCAGCATGCTCTGTTGCCAGTGGGTAGGCAGGCGGCTCATCCTCTCCACTGCTGCCATGCTCAGGGGCTGGCAGAAGAGGCTGTGGGGTGGTCACTGAAGCGTGAGACCCTGCAGAAGCCACTTCAGCAACAGTGCTGCACTTGCACCCTGAGATACAGACCAGGGACTGGGAAGGGGCAGACAGTGGAAATAGCAGGGCACAGCTCTTTTTTTAAGCCATTTTTTAAACAGTAAATCTCAGCATTGGTATGATTTCATCTGGCAGGGGAACACAATATGTGATGTTTTGAAAAAAATGTATATCTAGATACATCTTTTTCTGTTTAAGAGTGAAGTGTAGAGTGAATTTTAATCCAAGGGAAAAAAGTGTGCCCCAGGTATCAAAAGTTTTGGAAACACTGGTCTAAGGCAGGGGTTTTTAACCTTTTTTAACAAGTGTACCCCTTCTGGTGGTGGCAGCCGGATGACAGGGGGGTTGATAATCCCTGGTCTAAGGTATCATATAAGTGCAATGACTATGATTTCAAGATACAAAAAAATGGTGTTAAAACAGTCTGTTTTCTAGGAAGCTTTTTATGAAGTGACCAGTATGCAGTTTACCTTGAAGTTCAGACTCTCCTTTATTATGGTTTTCCGGAGTTTTATAATGGAATCGGATTCTTCTGTAGCATTCACAAAATGATAATCCTGGATAAGTGGGAAGCCCCTTTGATTCAACAGTTCTCTTGTAATTTTATTCATGCAGGTCTTACATTGCCGCTCATCAGAGACATCTAAATGAGTACCAACAAGAATCACGGGAGACGATGAAGCACGAGCCTGTTAACAAGAACCATATAATTTATTATCTCAGTGGCGAAACCTGATTTTTCTTTGGCTGTGCACAAGCAACCTGCATAGTGCAGTCAGAACAACATAAAGACTCTGGGCACTTGTACATGTGATGATGTGGTCATGTACATGTGACGAAAGTGACAAGAAATCACTATTTGTCTAACGTAATGGCGTAACCGTATATACGTGCACGATATCTTTTTGTGTCAAAAGTTTTTTGAGCATGGCAACTTAGACCACCTTGATGTATTTTAGTTTGGTCATGCCAAATTGTCCCACTGTGGACAAAAGAACCTGTTGCACATACATGTCACATAGCTCCTGCCACCTCCCTGTGCTGCCCTGGGAACGGGCTGGCTTGCCCTTGGGGCAGTGTGGGAAGGTGGCAAGAGAGCACCTGGGTGTGCTGGCAGCTGGAGAAGGTGGAGGGGATGGTGCATGGAGAGCTGGAAGCCTGGGCAGGCTGGTGGAAGCTTGAGTTTGGTGGGCTTCCTTCCCCGCTGCCTTCTCTGGCCGCCAGCACACCCAGACACCTTTCTGTCACCTTCCCACGCTGCTTCAGGGGCAAGCCAGCCCATTGCCTTCCTGCCACCTGAGACTGCCCGGAAATGGGGATGGTGCATGGGATGCTGGAAGCCCACCAAGCCTGAGCTTCCCTGAGCATGCCTGGGCTTCCAGTGCTCCGTGCACCGCTGGATTGGCCTGGGTGCTGCCTGAGAGCTGCAGCAGCACCTGTGCAGCTAACACCCTGCCTGTGGTAGCCCTGGGGGTGCCACTGCTGTGGTGGGAAGCACTTGGCCTCCCTGCAGCTCAGTGACTGTGACCCAGGAGCAGCTCGTGCGGGTAGGCTCTGCTGGGGGTGGGGAAAGTGGTGAGGGGGGCACCACAGCTGTGGAGGGAAGGTCTGGGGCTCCCTGCACTTCAAGGTCCGCCAGCAGCTTGACCCCCAACAGCAAGAGAGGCAGGCAGGCTTCATGAGAACAGAAAAAAAGGACTGGGCCCCTTGCCACTTTTCCCCCCCCTCCTCTTGGCGAAGTGTGCCCACAGCCAGGGAGAGGAGGTGGGGGGAAGCTGCAGGCGGGCCATCACTGTTCCGTAACAGTGACAGAAGCCCCTAAATTGAAACAGTGGGATTTTAATCCTCACAATTAAAAACCTACCAATTAAAAATTCACCATTTTCAATTTAGGGGAACTAAACCCCCTCACGTGTATAAGCACCCTCTAAGACAAGGGAAATGCAGCCAGATTGATTTCTATTGTCTCTCTCCTTATAATTTATATTTGTCTATTTTCTTCTCATCAGTGGAAGAAGACTGACAATATCGGGAGCTCAAAACTGATTTATTTTAATTTTACATTTTGCCTGACTTTGTAAGTCATAGAGTTTAATTTAGGTGAGTTTATGGAATAAACACTAGAGCAAAATGTGAAACAATGTGTCTTGCAATATAGTAGTTTTAAGCTGTATATAAACTGTATATTAAAGACTGGGCAAGGTAATAAAATGTATTATGCCTGTAAAGCATTATTTAACATGTACAGATGATCTTGAATCAAAATATGGATACAAACACTCTTCTCTTTAAAGGGGTGTTTGGATCAAGGTTCCAATATTTGCAGCTCAGTTCCATTTCTAGGAACTTAAATTCTAGCAACTCAGTTTTTCACATTAAGAAAATAAGACTGAATAACAACACTATTAATCACTGTGAAAAATGGCAGTTGGGCAATAAAGGCAAGGCACCAAAATGGTAAAGGTCAATATGTTAACAAAGGTCTTTACCAAAAACTCATTAAGTGTGCCCTATAACCTGCTACCCTTAAGGTATAATGATGTCTAAGGAGAAAAGGAAAGAGTATTAATGAGTAATGACGAAAGATGAGGTAAAGCTATTGATCAACCGCTGATAAGGTCTAACTGAAAGCAGAGAAAAATACTCACCCTCTTAGGGTGGAATTCTACTTTCCTTTGTCCATCTAAATGGCTGTTTTCTAAGTGGCATTTCTAGCACTAATGTGCAGATAGCAATTTTATTGACTTTGCAGTATGGAGGGATCAGTGTCAGCATGACTATCAGGACCAGCATTTGGAATTTGTGACATAGCTGTGCTTTATCATTTTATACAAAATAATATCAGAACTTGCTAAATTCTTACTATGGATGACATCCATAAATCCACAAAAAGTATGAAGAAATTTTCTTACACAATAATCTGCATTCCAGAAAGTTTCTCATCTTAAAGTTTCTACTAACTGAACAACTTCCCAAAAATATGAGGTAAATTTAATGGTTACAAACAGTTATTTGGAATTTAAAAAAACATATTACAGAAAATTTAGCCCGCTACCTTTATATTAAACAGCCACGGTTTCATAGCATCCACTTCTGCTTGCCCTTTGCTGAGATCATACACAGCAAGATACAAGGCTCTCTGGGTCATAAAGTGGGGATGAGTACTGTAAAACTCTTCTTGTCCTAAGTGATACAGAAATAAATACTTTAGTACTTTCCATACTTCACTTCCACAAATCACAAAAAAGCAGAACGGCTTTTATCCTCAATTTGCTAATCTGCAAACCCAGTTAATTCTCACAAAATAGTCAAAGTGAAACATTTATCCTGTACTACATGTCAATAAAAAACAACCATTTTATAATAAAAGAATGCTAAGGTTGCATGATTAAGCGCTCAAAAAACCAGGAAATGCCAAAATTTAAGTTACATATGTAATCCGAATATTCCTGTCTTATGCACGTTACAATAGAAACTAAAATTAAAGGATAACATACCATTTCCAAAATGAAATATCAAATCACAATTATGCTACTTATGTATTTCCTAAAATATATTTCCTGAAATACATACGCAGGATCTTGTCTGACTTTCTTAGAAAGAGCCCATGTAAGTCACGTATATGTGGAGTGGAGGGAAAAGAGGGGTGGGAACCATAGTGAGTGAACTTTTCTTACAATACACATTAAAGATTCAGTGCAAAAATTAGAAGTCTACTGAAAATTTGCTGAAATATATGAATCTCTTCAGTAGTTTCTCTTCTGGAGTCCTGATCCAAATTTGTAAAGTACTTAAAAGTCTAATCCAAGATAGATTCATGGACTTCAAATAGGCTTCAAAAGAATTTGAACAAGGAAATTAATTGGGTCTAAGTCAATTAAATTTACCATCAGAGGCTGCTTCATTTCCTTGACCTTCCAAAAATTGCTATCTTGTGGAGGATCATGGAACTAGAGAGACAGATTTGGAATACTGGTACTGAAGACAGAACTATATGCTTCTAAGATAAAACCTTTTCTACCCCGGATAACCCAAAAGCCCACAGTTTCCTCAGAGAGACTAAGGTTCAAGCCTAGTCCGACAGAAGAACAGGGTCTCGAACATCAGTCTTCTACCTCCTAAGTAAATGACCTGCCTACCGAGCTATTGACTATTTTTAAGTGGGACATGGTCTTCTCCCTCTGGTTTTACCAGAAATCCCATCCTTGTCAAAACAATTATGTGTACTTACATGAAAAGTTCTGATTTCAACAAACTGACATTTTTTAACAACAACAACAAAAATTCCATCAGAAAATTCCTTACTAATTCTAGGCAGAATGGTCTCAGCCCTGACCTGACCTGTGCCAATCTAAGCCCAATTACATTCCCAGGTATATTGGAACATACAATGGAAGGCCTTCTTGGGCCACTGAGTCTACTCCCCTGCATTTGCAGGCAATTGTTAACTGGGAGAACCCTCAAAAGTCTCCACTTCACCTATAGCTACAAGGAACAATATATAAAATACCAAGAACATGTAGTAACATAAGAAAGGTCATAGAATCATAGAAAATTAGAGTTGGAAGGGACCTCAAGAGGTCATCTAGTCCAGTGTTTCTCAACCGGTGGGACGCGTTCCACTGGTGGGATGCAAAGGTAGTCTAGGTGGGACCCGAAGTTTCAAAAATAACTACTGTAATACTTCAGTGAAGCCTCTCTTCAGAAGTCATGTGCTCCAGCCCCTTAACCATTTTTGTTGCCCTCTGCTGGAGTCTCCAATTTTTCCACAGTTTCCCAAGTGGGGGGCTCAAAGCTGGACACAGGGCTCCAGACTGGCCTCACCAGTGCTGCATAGAGGGAAAGAACCGCTTCCCTTGATCTGCTGGCAACGCTTGTACTAAAGAAGCGCAATATGCAGTTAGCTTTCATTGCAACAAGGGCACACTGTTGACTCATATTCAGCTTACTATCCACTGTAACCCCCAGGCCCCTTTCTGCAAAGCTGCTTAGTCAGTCAGTTCCCAGCCACGGGACCGTTCTATATGTAGGACTTTGCATTTGTCCTTAGCAAACCTCATGACATTTCTTTGGGTCTAATCCTCCAATTTGTCCAGGTCTCTGTGAATCCTAGCCCTACCCTCCAGCATACCTACTACTCCCCCCAGCTTGGTGTCATCTGTAAACTTGCTGAGGGTGCACTCTATGCCATTTTCCTGGTCATTGATGGAAATATTGAACAAACCCAGTTCCAGGACTGATGCCTGGGGCATTCCATTTGATACCGGCTGCCAACTAGATATCAAGCTATTTACTACCCTCTGAGTCTGACAATCCAGCCAGTTTTCTATCCACCTTACAGTCCATTCATCCAACCCATATTTCCTTAGATTACTTGTGAGAATGTTGTAGGAGACCACATCAAAAGCCTTGCTAAAGTCAAGGTATATCAAATCCACTGGTTTCCCCACATCCACAGAGCCAGTCATCTCATTATAGAAGGCGATCGAGTTGGTCAGGCATGACTTGTTCTTGGTGAATCCATGCTGACTGTTCTTAATCACCTTCACCTCCAAGTGTTTAGAAATGGCTTCCTTAAAGATCTGCCCCATGATTTTTCCAGGGACTGAGGTGAGATTGATCGGTCTGTAGATCCTTCTATCCTCCTTCTTCCCTTTCTTAAAGCTGGGCTCTATACTTGCCCTTTTCCAATCATCAGGGACCTCTCCCCATCACCATACATCAGCGTTTCCCAAACTTTTTCACTCCATGGCACACTTACCTAAATAAAAAAGCACCACAGTACACCGGACCATGGGGGAGGGGGGATGGTGGCCAGACAGACAGCATTTTGGGCTGGAGCCATGGCCCCTGCCTGGCTGGAGCCACGCTCCCAGTCTGTCTGCGTCTGCTGCAGCAGCAAGCGGGGGGCGTGGCTCCAGCCCAAAATGCCTCGGCACACCTGGATGTGGCTGACGGCACATCGGTTGGGAAATGCTGCCATACATTTTCAAAGATGATGGCTAGAAGCTCTGCAGTCACATTGGCCAATTCTGTTAGTACCCTTGGGTTTATCCTATCCAGCCATAGACTTGTACATATCCAGCTTTTCCAAATAGTCCCTAACCTGTTCCTTTGCCACAGTTGGCTGCTCATCTCCTACCAAACTGTGCTGCCAGCTGTAGTAGTGTGGGAGCTGACCCCACCTGTGAAGACTGAGGTGAAAAAGACATTGAGTAATTCAGTCTTTTCTGCATCCTCTGTCACTAGGTTGTCTCCCTCATTTACTAAAGGACCCACCCTTTCAGTGACACTCCTCTTGTTGCTGGCATACTTGTAGAAACCCTTCTTGTTACCCTTCAGATCCCTTGCTAGCTGCAACTCCAATTGTGCTTTACCCTTCCTGATTTCATCCCTGCACGCCCAAGCAATACTCTTATACTTTTCCTTAGTTGTTTGTCCAGTTTTCTACTTCTTATAAGCTTCCTTTTTGTGTTTTACCTTACTGAAGACTTCCCTGCTAAGCCAAGCTAGTCTTCTGCTATACATGCTAGTCTTTCTGCACATCAGGATGGTTTGTTCCTGTGCCCTCAGTAAGGTTCCTTTAAAGTACAGCCAGCTCTCCTGGACTTCTCTCCTCTTCAGACTGGCCTTCCATGACATCTTGCCCATAAGTTCCCTGAGTGAGTTGAAGTCTGCTTTTCTGAAGTTGAGGGTCCTTACTCTGCTGCTCTCTTTCCTTCCTTTCCTTCAGGATCCTGAACGCAAATCACCTTGTGGTCACTGCTGCCCAAGTTGCCACCCTCTACTGCATTCCCCACCAAGGTCAGTGAGGGCCAACCTTTTTGGCATGCATGCCACAAGGTAAGCCTTGCTTCCATCCCAAGTGCCATTCCAGTCCCCTTCCCCTGCCTAATCTGGTGCTCCACTTTCTGCCCTCTGCCTTGTCTCCCTTATCAATCTGCTGTTCTGCTTTTTGCTCCATGCCTGTACTCCTTGCCCAATCTGTTGCTCTGCTTTCTATTTCCTGCCCCCTCCCCAACCTGCCACATGTCACATAGAGAGGCTGTGGGTTGGGCAATCATAGTTTCATAGTTTTAGGGTCGGAAGGGACCTAATAAATCTTCTAGCCCGACCCCCCGCCAGGGCGGGAGAACAACAAAAAACCCTAAAAACAAAAACGGGACTCAAATGAGTCCAGCCAGGTAGGCATCCAGCCTCTTCTTAAAGACCCCCAGGGTAGGGGCCAGCACCACCTCCCTTGGAAGTTGGTTCCAGCTCCTAGCCATCCTAACTGTGAAGTAATTTTTTCGGATGTCCAATCTGTACCTCCTCTCCATCAACTTGCGCCCATTACTCCTTGTTATGCCAGCGGGGGCTAGGGGAAACAGCGTCTCCCCCAAACCCTTCTGGTTCCCCCTAGTGAGTTTATAGACGGTCACCAGGTCCCCCCTCAGCCTTCTCTTGTGGAGGCTGAATAGGTTCAAGTCCCGCAGTCTCTCACTGTAGGGTCTGCCCTGTTGTCCCCGGATCATGCGGGTGGCCCTCCTCTGGACCCTCTCCATGTTGTCCACATCCCTCCTGAAATGGGGCGCACAGAACTGGACACAATACTCCAGCTGCGGCCTGACCAGCGTCGCATAGAGGGGGAGGATCACCTCCCTGGCTCTACTCGAGATGCACCTGTGGATGCACGACAAGGTCCGGTTAGCCCTGCCAACCATGACCTCGCATTGTCGGCCCATGTTCATCTTGGAGTCAATAATGACACCAAGATCCCTTTCCGCCTCCGTGCTCTCAAGTAGGGAGCTCCCCATCGTATAAGTGTGCTGCTGGTTCCTACTACCCAAGTGCAGCACCCTGCACTTGTCCGTATTGAAACACATCCTGTTCCTGTTTGCCCACCCCTGTAACCTATCCAGATCCTTCTGCAATCTCTCTCTCCCTGCTAGCGTGCTCACCTCCCCCCAAATTTTGGTGTCATCCGCGAATTTAAACAGGTTGCTTTCCACCCCAGCATCAAGATCGCTGATGAAGAAATTGAACAGCGCAGGCCCCAGGACCGAGCCCTGCCATAGGTAAATGAGACTCTTCTTTTTGACAAAGGCTTCACTGGAATAATGACCATTTTTAGGGAAAAAATCCCTAGGTGAAGAAAGAAAACGGTGAGAGAAAGAACACTGGGAATAAAACCCTTCTAAAACTCCCATTTAAATCAACAGAACTGGGATTTCACCCCAGGTTTTTGGTTATCTGAATTCTTCCATTGTGTTGTTTGTTGCTTAGATGCAAACATATTACTTGCAATGGCCAGATGTAAAACAAATCAGCTAACATGTTTAATATACTCTGAAGAGGCATATCCATTTCCATCGACTTGAACATCACTATTGCACTTAGAGGAAGTACACAAAAAGAAGATATTGTATACTGTTATGTTTGGTAGCCATAACCTTCTTCTTCAGCAATCCTTCACAGTCGAGGATGATTGTTTGCCATGATTATCTTATTTGTGGATCTGAAGATGGCTGATGAGGCCAATCCAGGATAGACAGACTTTGCTGCAACTTGGGCATGTTTTCATGGGTGTCGGTGGCTCTGGATTCTGCTTTTCCATCTCCTGTTATCATCGTAAAGTTTCAAAGCACTGAGATACTTGCAGCAGATTCTTCCTCCACTGGGGTGGTTCTGGGTGATGGTCTCTGATGAGTTGATGTTGAATTATTTCAAGCTGGCCTTAAGGATGTCCTTGAAGTGCTTTCGCTGCCCTCTTTTTGGGTATAGACCTTGACTGAGCTGGGAGAATAAAACATTCTTTGGGAGCCTGGAGTCAGAAATCCGGATGATGTGGCTGGCCCAGTGAACTTGATGTAAGATGATCATCGCCTCGATACTTGTAGTTTTTCCTTGCAAGAGTATGTTAATATTGGTACATCTGTTTTCCCGCTGGATTTGAAGGATCTTCTGCAGGCAGCGTTGATGGTACTTCTCCAGTGACCTGAGGTGTCTCCTGTACAATGTCCACATCTCAGCTCCAAACAGTAAGGTGGGGATTGCAACTGTTTGATAAACCACAAGCTTGGTTTTGGATCTGATGTCGTGATCTTTGAACATCTGTTTCCTCAGGTATTCAAAGGATGCACCTGCATATTTCAGGTGATGTTGGATTTCTTTGACAATATCAGCTTTCTGTGAGAGATGGCTTCCAAGGTATGGGAAATACTCAGTGTTCTCCAGGGTCTTACCGTGAATCTGAATTACTGCAGCTGGGAACTGCTCATTAAGATCTGGTTGGTGGAGGACCTTAGTCTTCTGAATGTCAAGCATCAGTCCCATTTTCTTGTATGCCTTGCTAAGGATGTTGATGATTGCCTGAAGGTTTCCTTCTGAGTGAGCACAGTCTATAGCATCATCAATATACTGAAGCTCAATGACTGATGTCAGGGTGGTTTTGGATTTGGCTCAGAAGTGACTGAAATTAAATAGCTTACTGTCCAATCAGTAGTTTAGCTCCACTCTAACTGGAAGCTTGCTGATGATCAGATATAGCATCACAGTAAGGAATATCAAGTAGAATACTGGAGCAATGACACAGGCTTGCTTAACTCTCATTTTAACCCCAAAGGGATCTGTGATAGATCCGTTACTGAGGACCACCAATCACATACTGTCATGGAGCAGGCAAAGAATGGTGACGAATTTCGATGGGCATCCATTCAGAAGGATCCTTCACAGTGCTTCTTGGTTGACAGAGCCAAAGGCTTTCATGAAGTCAAAAAGATCATGTAAAGAGATTTATGTTGCTCTCGGCATTTCACCTGCAGCTGGCAAGCTGTGAAGATCATGTCAGTTGTGCCTCTTGATGCCCTAAACACACACTAAGATTACGGGAGAAACTCTTCAGTAAGTGGAAGGAGACAGTTCAGGAGGGTTCTCACAATGATATTTCCTGATGGACAGCAAAATGATCCCTCTGTAATTTCCACTTTTGGACTTGTCTCCTTTCTTGAAGAGCTTTATAAACATGGTGCCCCTGAGGTCATCTGAGATTTCCTCATTATTCCAAATCCTTAATATGAGGACATGGAGCTAAGATGTGAATTCCTCTCACCCCTGCTTGAACATTTCAATGGGGATTCCATCTGCTTCAGATGCCTTGTTGTTCTTCATCTTCTTGATTGTTTTCCTCACCTCGTTAAGGGTTGGAGGAATTCTGGGATCGTCTCTGACTGGTTGTTGTGGGATAGAATTGAGAGCACTCTCTTAAACAACAGAGTCTTGATTGAGATGATCTTAAACATGCTCCTTCCTTTCTTTGATCAGGTCTCCTCCATCCTTAGGTCTCAAAGGGTTGGTCCCCCGAGTGCTCAGATTGTAGATGGCTTTGGTGGCACTGAAAAAAAACCTCACATACCATGGATGTCAGCAAGATGTTGAATCTCATTCACTTTGTCTTCCCACCATCTGTTCTTCATATGCTGGGTCCTCCTTTGGACCTTTGCCTTGGCTTGTTGGTAATTCACTTTCTTTTGCTTGGAGTTAATATTGTTTGGTCAAGCACAAAAAGACTTGTGCTTGCAGTCCATCAACTCTTGGATCTCCTTGTCATTCTCATCAAACCAGTCCTGAAGTTTCCTGGTAGAGAATAGAAATGCCTCTTCTCAGGTGCTGATAGTGGACTTGAAGGCACCGCAAGTGCTATCGACTTTCTCCCATTGTTGTTTACGGCATCTTCCACCAGTGCCAGTTTTTTGTTGAGGCACTTGTGGAAGATGTCTCACTTGATTGGGTCCTTGAGTCCTGTGATGTTGATCTTCTGTCGGCATTGCTTCTGCTGCAACTGTCATTTGGGAGCCAGTTTGAATGACATTACCAAATGGATGAGTTGGTGATCTGCCCAGCAATCATCAACTCCTAGCACAGCTTGCATAATGTGGACATCTTTGTGATCCTGGGCATGAACAATGAGTATAACCTCAGATGTTTGCAAACAGCCCTCCTGGCTGTTTGGAAGTCACATTATTAAAGATCTACTGCCAAAAAAAGTGATCAGAGTACAGTTAGTGTTGAGATTTAAAAAATGTAATTAATCACTAATTTACAAAATTCAGCAATTCACAACGTGTTCCTCTGTCTTTAATGTGAACTGGTAAGATTCTGCTGCATGATATTTGAAATTTTACAAATTGCTTCTTGGAAACAGCACCATATAGATGTATTAATAAGGACAATATTTTAATATATTGTTGAACCAAATACCTGCAAAATCCCAGACATTTAGTATCAGCTCTTTCTTCACTCTGCCTTTCACTTGAACCGTCCAGTCCTTTACATCTATACCTACTGTAGCTTTCTGAGCTCCCATATCTGAGCGCTTGCATTTCATTAATTGTTGCAGCAGTGTAGTTTTACCACTGCCAGTGTTTCCCACAATCATGAGTTTCATTCTGTTATAAGGGACAGACTTCTTTAGCCGTTGCTGAAGAAACCTGGCATAAAACATAATTTATAAGTATATATTACAGATCAAAAGAAGAACAAACAAGGGAACACACACTCAGTTTTCTACTTAATCTCAAGATTTTAATTTCCATGTGTTATTGTAACAGCATATATTCATCCTGCTTCTTTAAAAAGTGTTTACCAAAGAACTACCCTGTGAGTTTAAGTAGAATGAAAACACATTCGTTGTCAGGAACATCACATATTCAGCTAATAAAGTAGCACTATTACATTTTCATATGGTTATGAACCATGCTGTTTTGAGAAACTACATGTTCAACAAAGCCACAGCTAAACTGAGGATCATATACACAATCCAGGATTATTTTTAAAAGGCATAACTCACAATGAAAACCAACACAATATATAAAAACAGATAAGAACATCAATAAGCAAGGTTACAAACCTTATAATGTCTCTGGCTTTGAATCCCACATGTTTGAAATCTAAATTAAGATTTAGCCCATCTAAAGGAAGATCCCAGATTTTGGACAACTTTCCCATTTCATCTGGAAAGGAACTCAAGTCAGGATTATAACTGACATCCAGAGAGGTCAAGTTTTCAAGGAAGCCAATCTGAGGAGGGATCTGGATAAAGGAAAGGTAATAAACAACTATGCATTTTATAATAGTGAGGGATTTTTTGTGCAGCAGGATGACTGTCTCAAGCAAACTTCTGATAAGACCTAACACGTCTGGAATTCCTGTCTTCCAGTTATTATTCTAAAATTATTCAGTACACAAATCTAGTATCTCTGATTGGAGAAGAAAGTAACTCAAAGATGCTATATACATTTTACAAAGAAAAACATGACAAATATTGTACTGTCATAGGAAAATACAATACATACATTAAAAACAGAGATTAAATGTAAAATATGCATGGTGACAGACGATTTTCCTATTAGAATCTTCAGTCACAAAAAGTAGTGCAAGAAGGAACAGATTTGATTTAGGGCTTATCTGAACACACAGTGATCATTTAAAGACCACACATAAATATGAAAAGTATTTTGATTTTTTCATATCTAAAAACTCAAGCTTTACCTCTGTTAGCCTGTTATGGGACAGGTGTAGTTTTTCTAGTCTAGACCACACGGATGCTTTTTCATTCAAGTCCAAGATGCTTATCTGATTGTGATTAAACAAGAGTTCCCTTAAGTTTAAGGATTTCCAGTGCACAGGTCCAGGTAGGTTTATGATTTTATTGTTACTTAAATCTACTGACCGCAAACTGAAAGAAAAAAGCAGCAAACAAGGGAAAAATTAACAGAAAAAAATAAAATTTAGACTAGCTATAACTATATAAGCACACTACTGTATAAACAAAGGGATTACATATTAGAACACAGCTTTCTGATAGAAATTTTCTTAAAGGAAGTAAAAGTAGAAAGCGAAAGTAAATTGCTGATTGGAAAATATTGCAAGATATTGGAAATAAATTTTGGATATCTCAGAAAAAAATAAGAAAGGAAAAATATAAAGAAATACACTACTTCAGTAAATTATACTTTTACTTATAGTTTACATGTGAAATTACATGGCTATGGAAAGCAGCATTCAGATTGTATTGTGTATATTTATTCCAGTGATGGAATCAAAGATGACACTTTTAACCTGCTGCACATGCATTCACATTAATACTGGATAGTAACAAAATCACTCATTATTTACACAGTATGACAGGTGTACCTGGTGATGGCCAGATTAAGAAAAAGAACAGAACTAATTTCTGCTTGCACTTACACTGGGTCAATACTGAGAAACTCACCTGAAATCAAAAGAATTAATTCAGGTTAACAGTCGTATGTCAAAGAGAAAAATTTGGGTTATGACTCGACTGTACAACCAAATAAGCAGACAATATGTAATGGGATATTTTGCTAAAATAAATAAACTTAAGAGTGTTCTTTTAAATTTACCATACTAACATATCTACTTTTATCTCTTCCATCCCTTGTGTCAAATGATTGCTAGCCTTGCTTTTTTTCCTACTAACATTTCAGATACATACACAGACATACACACTCTCCCAGGTAGAACAGGAATAGAAGTGGCCACAGAGAATCACTTTTGAACATTCTCAGAAGGACAGACCAAATGCCCAGGGTGGAGTAAGCTCTAACATCTGTGTAAGTGCCCTAAGTGCCATTTATGTCTCTAAGTTTAGGAAAAATGTAATTGCTATTTACATGACAAAGGGGAGTTGGATTTGGGTCTGTGGGTTTCTCTGAAAATGCCTCTGAATATGGATGCTGGAGAAACACACAATGAAATTCCTATTTCCATTTATTTTCAATGCGTAACATACTGGACAAATGCACATGTGTTTATTTCAATGTGCAACATACCCGGTGCAAGAAACTCATTCAACTCCCTTCCAACTTGTCAGGGCTGGGAAAACTGGAGCATAAGAATTGTTATTCCTTCAACAAGTCTATTTTCTTCAGTAAGGTTACATTTTACCATGTTATGTGCCATTAAATTACAACTACGCTACCACTACGCTTGGGAGAAATACTTAGTCCAGATTTGTTTACTATGCAAGCACCTGAGTTATTTTAAATAGGTCTCAACAACTTCTCTCAGATCAGTTCCTTCACACTGTCTCCCTGCCATCATCCTTTCAAACCCTAGACTGATTAAGCACTCTTACTTGCTACCTTCTCAGCCTCTGCAGTGCTCTTAACCCACTTCCTCCCCTCTTACATTTCAGGTACCAGTTCTGCTCCTCTACCCATTATCTCCCCTGGCTCTAGCTCTGGATCTCCATCCACCTCCAACCAATTTTCCTGTGACACCTTCCTATTATTCCTTCTGGTATCCAATACCAGTTATCTACTGAAGACTTACTTTTATAGAGAAGTGAAATCACCATATGCTTAATATTTAATGGAACAATGCTTTGAAGGAACAGGATAGTATGTTACACATGCAATTACTGAAAAATTCAATCCAGGAGGCACATGCAGTGTTGCTCTCTGGGAAGTGCTGTAGCTGTGATGGTTCAGGGAATATGAGAGAAGGGAGGGTTTTTTTTTTGCAATTTCTTTCATTGGACTAAAAGTATATTTGGGAGAGATTTTAGAAAGAGTACCCTTCTACTCTGTGCCCAAGAGCTTGTCTAACAGCTCTACTGAGTACACAGTTGGTTCAGTGAAAGAGATCATCAAAACAAACCTTCACTTATTATGTGTCAAAATGAAATACTGAACTCAGTCATGGGGCACATACACATGCAGGCATGTGCTCTTGCACCAGCTCAAACAGAAGCGGTGCAAATTTGAGCTGGGGCTTTTTGCCTCAGAACACATGCCCAGACATTCACTGTCGTGTGGGGCACATTGTGCCACTTAGGGAAAAATAACCCTGCTTCTCCCAGATCTGCAGCCAGGGGGAGCTAGAGGCTGGCCTGCAGTATAAAAAGCTGCCCTGGCAAGTAGCTCAGAGCTACTTGCTCTCAGAAGCTTCTGGAGCCTGACCAATTGGTACCTGGGGACACTACTCCTTGTGCCAGCTGGACTCCTGAAGCAGCCCTGAGAGTTCCCTGCACCCTCTACCCACTGCAGCAGTCTGGCAGTGGGGGCTGCGGCCTGGTTGTGACCTGCTGCCACCTAAGACAGCATGTGGCCCCAAGGCTGCATGCCTGCCAGACCCAGATGGGGACTGCATGGCCATTAGAGGCATCTGCACCTCTGGGCCAGCTGTCAGTGGGCTGTGGCGACACAGTTGGCCTATGTGCGGCACTGTTGCCATTTGTGCCACCGCCTGGCCATCTGGGCAGCTATAGCCCAGAAGATGTTCTCAGTGTGGTGGCCTGTTTTGAACTGTCAAAGCATGTCCTCCTGGCCCCAAGTGGCCAGGAGGTCAGCAACCTCCACCTGGGTCCTGGGTGCGAGTTCTGAGCAGGCTTCTCTGCCTGGGTCCTGCCACTTGACTCCCTAGCAGGAATTCTGGTGGTCCCTATTTAAAAACTGCAAAATCCCTGATAAAAAAATCCTAAAGTCACTCTTTAAAATACCCCCAAATCCATGTTCTTCCATAAGTAAAACAAAAGACCACTACACACACACACACACACACACACACACAGATTAAATCATTTGGGCAATGTTTTATTGATATATTTACAATTTTTAAGCAATTTGGAAGCCTACCAGTGCCTCCATCATCATCATAAAATAAATCCTAAATATGTGTATTTTTGATGTTTGCTTTTGGTTTCCTTATCACATGGTGGGTATATGATAGGGGGATGTGGGGTTTTCAGGAGGAGGGATGTGGGTGGTTGTGTGGGTGGGTGCGGCAGGAATTGGAGGGTATGGGGGTCAGTGTGTGGGGGGACTGTGGATGTGAGGGCACTGTGTGGGGGACTGCTTAGAAGGGGTGTGTCTCCTGCCCCTGGCAGGGCAGAGCCCCTCCCACAGAACATTGACTCTTCCCCCTGCAGGGTTCCAGCCCCTGCCCAGGGGCTACAGCACTCCTCCTAGAGCACCCTCACCCAGCCCCAGCCCCCTGCTGCCCCCCCTTCGTCTCCAGCCCCCTGCACATTCTCCTACAAGCAAGGGAACAAGCAGGAGGCTGGAGATGAGCAGGGAAATGAGTAAGGGGCTGGAGACGTTCCCCTGCTCATCTCCAGCCTGGCTGACTACCAGAGTGTCTCTGTGGAGGACCTAGTTTCTGGTTGCCTCGGGGCATGGTCTTGGACCGTGCCTTGCCCCGCTGTTTAGCAGTGAGGTTTTTTTTGACCCCTGGAATGTTTTTTTGTTCCTGCACATGCCTCTTGCAGCGGGTTTGAGACACTGCAGGAGGCACATGCGCGCTCATCTGAACACGTCCATGTGGTGCAAAATGGTAAAGCTTTAGACTTAATTAAAGGCATACTGCCAATATCTTTTGTGGATTGCTGGTATGAGGGTAAACCAATCTGTTTCTAGCTTAGGTGGCAAAAATGTACAGCTTAAAATTTCCTGAAATGTATCCTTCAGTAAAAAAATAGATTAATAGTTTGGAACTAAGGCAGTGATTGTCAATCAGGGTGCAATGGCACTCTGGGTTGCTGTGAGACCCTTTAAGGATGCTGTAAGGTGTGAGGGAATAAGCAAGATGTAAGGAGATAAGCACAGACTCAGGCTTGTCCCTCTCTGGCCAATGCCTACCCCCACTGTAAGGAGGTAATCTCTATAATATATTCATTATTTTTCTAAATTGGGTCCCATTCAATTCACAAAAGTTACAGAGGGGTGCCTCAAGTCCAAAAGGTTGAAAATCACTAATCTAAGGGAGTCAATCTTTTTTAAATTTGTTTAGAAAATGTGCCAGTTGCTACCTATCAGACCTTGGATTTAGTATTTTTAAGATGATTGCCTAGAAACTCTCTTAGTAGAAATATTCTGAATTTCCTGCTGATTAACAGCTCTTCTACTAGGCTTGCCTACACAGAGGAAATGACATCAACTTTAACAAATAAAACAACAACTTACTGTGGAAGAAGAAGAATTGCATCTGGAATATCAATAAAATGATTTTGAGATAAATTCAAACTTGTTATGCCAGATGATAAATCAGGTATGGTATCTAAAACAGGAAAGAAAGTAAATTATTTCCTTCATTATTTTTCAGCAGTACTTAACTTAGTTTATAAAGATACCGTTTTCTATATTGAGAGATGGATTGAACACCAGAAATTAGAACTGGGCATGTGTGTTTGCAAAGTGGCCACATGAACTGGCATTTAACGAAACAAATATTTACACTGTGCACCCAGATATTGACTGAGCTCTCAAAGACAGGACCTGGATTACTTTTTAGGACTTCATTTGATAAGTGAGATCCATACGTGAGGAGTTGTGAAAGGCTACCTATTTTATCAAAATAATTTGGCAAAAATTTTTACTTCTATGAGACATGCTGATATTTAATTTCATATCGTTATTTAATATTCTTGCAACTAGGGACCTACAAATATTGCAACTGCACGATACTTGCTGAAACCACAATATCGGGTGGGCTCTGAGAAAAACCATGGGCTCTGCATTTTTGGGGGGGGGTCCCTGGGGAAAAAAAAGTCTTACTGTAAATAAAATGCTGGCTGCCTCTGGGGAGCCAGCAGTCCTTGTGGCCACTGCCACCTAGCCGCACCGCCCACTGGGGGTGCAGGAAGGGGGAAGAGGGCTGCCAGCACAGCAAGATGGCTGCTACCCCCACCCCTCACTGCTTATTGGTTGAGAGGGATATCTGTCATATGGCTCTGTCTCTCTCCACCAATCAGTGGTGAGGGGCATGGCCACATGACAGGCAGCTCGAACAGCCAATCAGTGGTGAGAGACAGGTCCACCATGGCCCCTTGGCCAATTAGAGGCATGGGGTGGCCCGCTATGCTCCACCTGCAAAAATGGCTGCCAGCCCTGGGATCTTTCTGCAAAATTGGCTGGCCACCATCTTGAGTACAGCAGACCCCTAGTTATAACCTCATTTACCTTTTGGTGTGTTGCTTACACAATATATTCCTATAATTTAATCAATATAATAATATATCATGTATCTATAGCTTTATGTACATATATCTATAGCTCTATATCTGTATAGCTGTTATGCCTATAGCAAATAGGCAAGCCTGAAGTTTTGAAGTAGTCATATCTTTATATAAATACCTATAGATATATCTGCATATAGATTTCATAGACATTAGGGCTGGAAAGGACCTCGGAAGATCATCGAGTCCAGCCCCCTGCCCGAAGGGCAGGAAGTCAGCTGGGGTCATAGGATCCCAGCAAAACAAGCATCTAATTTACTCCTGAAGGTGTTCAATGTAGGTGCCTGAACCACCTCCGATGGCAGGCTGTTCCAGTCCTTGGGAGCTTGGACAGCTAAAAAATTCTTCCTTATGTCCAGTCTGAAATGGTCTTGCAGTAGTTTATAATCGTTTGACCTATATATATCTATATCAGTATATAGATATGACTACTTCAAAACTTAGGTATGTCTTTTTACTGTAAGCATAATGGCTACCTTCTGAAACACTAAGAAATTAGATCATAAAAAAGTGTTAAATAAAAAATTCTATATTTTCGATAGTGAAGAAAGAAATTCTACTAATAATTTAAATTAATCAGATGTTTCACTTATTGTATCTTTTCATAGGTAAATGCATAGTTAAATTTCTATGTAAAATGTGCTAAGCTATTGAATCACAATATGTATTACTTATCAGAAGACAGTACAGGTATAAAGCTATGTGGGTACTCTGTGCCTGGCTCATCTAAACCAAACTGATATGAGTTTAAATCAGTGGAGTTATATTAGTGGGAGGAAAGAATTGGGCTCCCTCCTTTAACAGGAAAACTACCACTCATTTATCCCTAGACACCAGTGGGCTAGTACATTATGTCAGACCACACTGTATTTCAAGCTTTCTTTATGTTATCTCATCTTCTTTGCTTTACTCTTATCTAGACAGTAATATGTAGCATCTATAGTTCACTCTACCTTTGTATTAGCAATCCTAGGAGACTTACCAAGTAAATTCATTCTGGCACTGAATATCTCCAGTTTTGTACAGTCCTTGATAAAATGTTCAGCAAGGGATGAAATATTGTTTTTAGAAATGTTTAAAACTTTCAGTTCCTTCAGGAATATGGGTGAACATATACTTGAAATTTTGTTTCTAAGGAAAAGTAAAATGAATAATAACAGGTTTTATACAAAACTATGTATGAACCTGATTCTACTACTCTTATGCAGGTGAAATAGTATCAGGAGTCTTACCTGACTCAAGGCCTGAAAGACTGGGATTCACATTTGTATGCCACTTGTATCAATACATGTGACAATATGAATACCAGAGCGATTGGTATGAAGACCATTAGGTTCACCATATAAATCAAACATCAGGATGAACATTAAAGTGTCATTTTCTGATTACTCACTATGGTTCAGCCTTGTAACAACACGTGTTTGATGTTAAGAACATGAACAGTTCATAGTTTTATAGTTTCATAGTTGGTAGGGTAGGAAGGGACCTGAGCAGATCATCAAGTCCGACCCCCTGCCATGGGCAGGAAAGAATGCTGGGGTCAAACAACCCCGGCAAGGTGTCTATCTAGCCTCCTTTTAAAGACCCCCAGGGTAGGAGCGAGCACCACTTCCCTTGGAAGTTGATTCCAGATCCTACCCACCCTGACTGTAAAGTAGTGCCTCCTGATATCTAGCCTGAATCTACTCTCCGTCACCTTATGGCTGTTATTCCTTGTTACTCCCAGTAGTGTTTGGGGGAACAGGGACTTTCCCATTGCCTCTTGGTCTCCCTTGGCCAGTTTACAGACCACCACCGGATCCCCTCTCAGTCTTCTCTTGTGGAGGCTGAACAGGTTCAGGTCTCGTAGCCTCTCCTTGTAGGGCCTGCCCTGCTGCCACCTGATCATGTGAGTGGCCCTCCTCTGGACCCTCTCAATGTTGTCCACATCCCTCCTGAAGTGCGGTGCCCAGAACTGGATGCAGTACTCCAACTGTGGCCTGACCAATGTCATATAGAGGGGGAGGATCACCTCCTTGGACCTGCTCGTGATGCATCTGTGGATGCAGGACAAGGTGCGGTTGGCCTTCCTGACTGCATCCCCACATTGGCGGCCCATGTTCATCTTGGAGTCTATAATGACTCCGAGATCCTTTTCTGCCTCTGTGCTGACGTTCCACTGACTTAATATGTTCCACTGACTTAATATGTGCATTCACAGGACTGTGACTTAAGGGGGCCTGTCAAATAAGTAATGAACTTCTGAAGAATATGGAAGGGACAAGGGAAGAACCGAATTCAAGATCAGTACACAATAGAGACATGAGAGATACAGGTTGCTACCTTGGGGCACTGGAATGGAGGCAGGGAAGCTGAAGGCTCTGGCCACATAGAACTAAGATAAGGTAGGACACTGCTATGAGTAGAGGTGTTGCTGCCAACAGCCAGGTTAACGCTTCCCTGGCCCTGCAGCCACTGCAGGTTTACGTACTAAAGTATGATAGAAAGCCCATAATTTGGTTGTGGCTGCAGGGCCAGGGAAGAGTTAATTTGGCTATCTGTGGTGACACTATCCCATCTAGCAGTGCCAACTCTCTTGGGGAGGAAGGGGAGGTTGACAAGGGGATTCCTGCCTCCACTCAGTTCTACATGGCTGGTGTCTTTCCCTACTCCCCACCTTGTCTCCATTCCAGTGCTGTCTTTTACTGAGTGCCTGGGGTTATACACCCTTACTTACACTATTGGTACACCATGTGAAAACCCACATATTCCAGTGTTTGTAGGGTGCTGCTCTCAAATATGAGAGACATATTTAAAGATTTCTCTCTGAAATAAAAAATGAGACCACCATATCAGAGGTTAAAGATATCTGAAAATTCAAGGAATGGTTGGCATTGCCAAATATCACAAGGATTACGAGATCTTGGGGTGAGGTCTCCATGAAGACTGGCCAGGAGCTGCATGGGCAGGGTGTTATGATTGCATCCACCCAGGGGAGTGCCCTGTCCACACAGCTCCCAGTCAGTCTCCATGGAGACCCTAGGATCTTGGGGCGAAGTCTCCATGGAGACCAACCAGGAGCCATGAGGCATCTGCCTGATGGAGTGCCCTGCCTACACGGTTCCCAGCTGGTCTCTGTGGAGACCCCAGGATCTTGTTATGGGGTCTCCATGGAGACCAGCTGGGAGCCATCTGAATAGGGCTCTTGGCTGGTCTCTATGGTGCTTGGGCAGCGGTGTTGGGTCCAGCAGCCAGAAGGAGCTGTTCCTACCGCCGGTGCTGCTGGGAAATAAACTCCGGCAGCCGAGCTGCGCCAGCCCTGCTCCGTGCCTGGTCACATGCCATGGCCTGGGCTGTCCCTACACATGGGCCAAGCAGAGGGACCCGCCATAGGCCAGGCAAAAATCGCTCTGCAGGCTAGATGCAGTTCTCAGCATTTTGCCCACCCCTGTTCTAGACTAGAAAGAATCCATATTGATTAATCCAACTTACTGAATCACAGATTTAAAAACCTCTATTTGAGATTCTTTCCTCCTAAAACAGCAAAAAGTAATTTGTACTGGAAACAAAAGCTAAACAAATCAGACAATCTTGGTGATGTACTGTACTGCAGAAAGAAACTGGGTGTGTCTACAGGCGAAATTACGCTGCATGAATAAACTGCAGAGCTTACTGCTCTGGAGTTTATTGCTTCTGGACACGCCATTTGAACATGCTCCTGGGAGCAATTAACTCTGGAGCAATAAGTTCCCAGTTTATTCATGCACAACACATGGAGCAGTAACTACTGGACAGTAGCATTTCACATAGATGTGCCCAATGCAGAGGAAATTTACCTGCTGTGGAGTAAATTAGTTTACTCCAGCCTAACAGGGGTGCACATGTAGGTTCCGAGATAGTTACTGTGCAGTAAACATTTTGTGTAGACACATCCATTGAGTACTACAATATATTTATTCATTTGTTTGAAACACCCCCTCCAGAATACTGCTTACTTAATGCTAAATCATAATGTGGCAAGTGGTCATCCCAACAGAAACTGTCACCAATTAAATATTTAGATCAGTGGTTCCCAACCTTTTTTTTTTTTGTGACCCGCTGCTGGGAGTAGTGTGTGGTGGTGGCACTGGCGGCTCAGGGGCGGGGGAGCTCCCGGCACACGGCTTGGCTCATCTTTTGTGTGCGGCATTGCCCCCGCAACCCTCATTTCGGTTGCAACCCGGGGTTGGGAACCGCTGATTTAGACACTAGAACATATTTTGCTGCCGATAAGAAAATCCTTTAAATGCAATATCGCTTAATAGTCTAGATTGGGTTGGTCAAGCCTCAGCCCATGGAGCCATGGCATCTGGCCTACAGGGCTCCCCACAGGTTGGGAAATTTGGCAGTGAGGGAGCAGTGGCAATTAATGTTGCCACCTCTCCCCCATTGCCTAATTTCTAAACTCCACCCAGTCCAATTGGACCCAGGTTGGTTTCCTTCTACACCTGCATGGCTAGATCAGGGCCTGACCATGCTCCCTCCCCCGATGCAGCCAGACTGGGCCCAGGTTGGCCCCCCAGTACACCTACATGACTGGATAAAGGCTGGGCCACGCTCCTTCCCCACCCCATGAGCCAGATTTGGCCCCCTCATGCTTGGCCTGTGAACAGGATCCAGCCTGCAGATGGACCAGGCACTGCCCATCTGGCCTGCGGGGCAAAAAGGTTGGGCACCACTGTTCTAGATGACAACTACATCCATTCTTTTCTGGAATGTTTGTTAAGCAATAATCAGATTAACTGGTACCATTCTCACCCTTCCATCATTAGCTGTTCCAGTTTTTCTACAACATCTGCAAGAAGTTCAGGAATGGACGATAGTTGATTATATGACAAATTAAACTGCTTTAGAGATGGGCACTTGATATTTGGATCCAAAGTTATGAAAGGGCCGATGTCATTTCGAGAGATATCGAGGTTTGCAATACAACTCATTTTCAGTAAGTAAGTAGGAAAAGATGTAAATCGGTTACTGTGTAAATCCAAGCAAGTCAAACATTTCAAGGTCTGAAAGAAAAGGAGAATTTGTTTTTAAAACTACAACCCAGAAACAATAATTTATAATCTTTAAACTGAATTAATATTTTAGTCAATTAATTCATGTTTATTTTCTTTATTTATCAAGTAAAATGACAGAAAATAGTAATCATAGTAATAAGGTTAGTTATGTTTTATTAGAAAAAATATGATATGAAGGCATGTTGTAATAAAACTAACTAGTACAATTATAAATGGCTTTAGCATGTAAGAATCTGTTCTCATTCCCATTTATTTAATGAAATCATGCCACTATCTGTAACATCCTTCCCAAACTGGCCCTCTAAAGATGTCCCACGGAGGCTCCCTGAGCAAGTATGTACAAGTAACTGGTTAATCTAACATTCGATTACTGTATGAAATTTGTACGTACACATTAGGCACGCATAACTTATTTCATTTATTATTTTATATGAATTCCATATATATGAATATATACGAGATTATTTAAATTAAATCTTTAATTTTAAAAGTATAATAGAGTATTTCAAGTATTATTGCCCTGCATTATGTAAAATGACAAAGAATTACTTCACACAGTTGTTCTGGAATGCTTGATAGTATGTTTTGGTGCAACTCTAGTTTCTCGAGATGTTCCAAATGACTGGTTAAGCAGCTATTCTGACTGATAGCATCAATGTTCTCCAGCTCATTTGATGAAAGGTCTAGTGACTTAATGTATTCTTTTTCCAAGCTCAGTGAAGAAAGACTATCTGATTGCCTTGCAGATGATGAGAGTTTTGATATGCCTTCTGTTAAAACAAAAAGAAAGACATACATCATCACTGAGAAAACATGCAACAATGTAATAAGTGCAATTTAATTTTCTAATTACAATTCAAAGAATTTGGGTTCCAATTCTGTACCCAGTACGGTAAATTATTATGTGGATACTGACTTAACAGCAGCCAGTCAGAACTTCTGTTTAAAGGAGCAATGAATATCTTTAGGGGAAGGAGAGAGATACTTTTTGGCTACAGAATAAACATGTTTTTAAAAAATGCTTCTAAGGCATGAAACTATGTTATTCCACTTAAAGTTACAAATAATCATGTGAAGCCCAAAAGAAAGTAGTTCACTGTGTATGCAATATTTGTATGCTTTGTTAAATTAGGAGCAATCTTTATAAATGAGCATTTAATGCAACTAAAACCTTCAACAGACTGTAGCCATCTCCAAGTACTGTTAAAAATGATAACTTTATTAGACAATAAATTTTGGTGGCTTACTGAGAGATTCTTCTGAAGAGAGTAGTTTTTTCCTTTGCTTCACGTGTGGTTCATAGTCTGAACCAGGTCCCTGGAAAATTCCAGAACAGAATTACAAGTGAAAGGTGTGAATATTTGTATATCTTGAAAACTATGTGAATGTAGTTAGTTTTCTTTCTATAGTGATTTGCACATCATGTAGGATGCAACAAAAAAGTGGATAATTTTTTACATTAGGAATCTAACAGAAAATTTACTACTGGTGTTTCTTAAATTGTAGTACCACAAAATTTAAAACACTAATACATTTTAAATATAATTTAATTAACACACTATTTTTATGTGGCAGCTTAACTAAAAATCTGTTTCTGCACTTGTTTAAACAGTTCTCAAAATAGCTTATTTATATTTGTTCATAAAAGTTTCCTGAAATAAAATCTTATCAGTTGCAGCAATCTGAATGTGTGTAGTCCCTGTACAGCTATGGATCACTTTCATAAGATATTTCGAAACAGTGAAAGCGAGAGGAGAACATTTATGGTCATAACCTGTCATTTCCCAATACAGTTTTCCATCCCATTTCCCAATACAGTTTTCCAAACACAATGGATTTAGATAGCTATATAGTAGATAGTAACTTGGCTTACCACAGAGTTAGAATGTCTTTGCAAAGTAGGAGAATATCTTTGTAAGGCTGTATCTCTGTACAGGTCAGCAACCGCAATGGAATTGGATTTCTTTTTCATACGAAATGAACTTTCACTCTCTGTTACAAAATAGGAAAACAAAAACAAAAAATAAGACAACCTGCCAAAATTTAAGCCTATTTCAACCACGTAACAGAGGTACAGACATATACACTGTAGCTGTACATTTCAGGCACATTAACAGTAACAGGATTAGCTAATCCAATGTGCAGTATGTTGAGAATGTTACTATACCCTAGAATATAGGTACTATACACAGTTAATGAGTACCAGACACAAATTTCAGATTTCTGGCATTTTTGTACTCATGATAATATAATTTTCATAAATTCAGAGCTGTGATAATTTACTTTTTTTAAATATACCCCTATGCTTCCAAAGCAAGGGAGATCTGAGCTATGCAGACAGCAAATAGGCTCCTGAAGGGAATTTCAGACCTGTGGCTTCAGATTTCCTTAGAATCACTTGCTCTAACACTGTGATGGCTGCTGCTGGGCAATCTACAATTCCCTCTCCACCCTCTGGCAGTTCTAGCCCTCTTTTGTAGACTCCTCTTATGTTCTTATCATAGAATCATAGAAGTAGGGGCGGAAGGGACCTTGTAGATCTTCAAGTCCGACCCCATGCCTGGGCAGGAGGAAAACTGGGCACTGCAGCCGTGGAGGAAAGCATTGGGCCCCCAGGCAGCTCAGGCAGGCAGGCTCTGGGGAAGGGAAGGGGGGGAGATCAGGTTCGCTACTTTTCTTGGGCAGAGCCTGCTTCCTGGGCTGCTGCCAGGCTGCCTACAGGGCTTCCTGCAGAGCCATGGAGCTGCACAAAGCCCAGTGCTTAGCTCCACGGCTGTAGGGGCAGCAAACAAACAGCTCAAAATCCAGGCTGTGTAAGAACAGCAAACTAAATAACATCTAGCTAATTTTAAGATACTACTGCCATTAAATGCAGAAATGCTGTTTTAAAACTATTTACAAATATTACATTTTTTTTTTGCTGTTGGGAAAGAATTTGAGTTGTAGTCATAAAATGTACATTTTCTTTATAAGAGATCAGATAGACACCTGGACTTGTGTGAAAGCACATGGATTCACACAAGGTTTGAGTTTGGATAATAGGTTTGAGAGTGGATAAGTTAATACAGACCTTTAATTTTATTTTGTTGAACCTGTATAAATGAATATGCATATTTATTTATCAAAAACTATTTTCCACATATACTATAAACAAAATTGTAGATAAATATCCTAATGTTTTACATAGAAAGCATTTTATTGCAAGGAAAAAATGGTTTGTTTGTTTTTACTGGTTAGTCCAACAGTTATTAAACTGATTTTCTTGAACCTGAAGCCATACTGCAGATCAGCATTGTATAGGAAAGACAAAATTCCTAGAATAAATGTACCTTCACTATCAAGATCATCACTCAAGCGAAAAACATTGTCCACTAATGGGTCAGGAAGGAAGGTCCAATCATAAGATTTATCCAGTGGATCATCACAAAAAGTCACATCAGAATAGGATCTTGATTTGTACTCTGAAAAACTCTTCATTTGGTATCCGAGTACCATTCGTGCCAATGAAGAACCTGCATCTAACAGTGTAAAAGAAAACCAACAGATAATCCATTTTTCAGTGCATTCACAAAGATTTAAAACTACTAAAAAAAGGCTTTGTTTTTTATTTTTAAAGATTAGGGAGCATCCTAGAAACAATGGAAGCTATACAGATTTATAAGGGCTAAATATCTGACCCCAAATTACCTGTGCTTCAATTTTAAATATCTTTCTGGAGGTTTTTATAATACTCTTAGGCACTGTTAGAATTTTGAAAGTTATTACGAATTTTATGAACACTTACTTGTTTGTTTTCTTAAAGGAGCAGGTTTATCTGGGAACAAAGGAATTAGCCAGGAAGGCTCAATTTTCCCAATGCTGTATCCTCCAAGACAGATACTGCTATTTGCTATATCCAGGCTAAGCTTCCTTAAGAGCAAGCTGATGATTTGGCTATCGCCTTTTTTTATGCTGATTGTCAAAGCACTCCGGACATCTTGCTCTCGAGCACCACTATTGAGTAAGAGCTCAACCAATTTAGAATTGCTTCCTCTCTCACAAACCTATTATCAAAAAAAGCACATATGAAGCAGTTCAGAGTATGGTAAGAGGGTGGTTTCAGTTTTTACTTCATGCTACCTCTTGGCGTGGTATCCCCTCATGAACCATAAAATGACAATTTCCTAAACACCACAACTGAGATTTCTAAACCTGCCTAAGAAATATGAATGTCAATTTCCATTATCCAAGGCTCCTGGATGGCTTTAACCCAGATGTACAATGACACACCTCCAAAATTTAAAACAACTCTCTTATATGTGTAATTCAAATTTTCTGCCATGATTCATATAAATGGTGGTTTATATCAGGTGTTTTAAAGTTATCTGGTCCCACAGGCCATATAGATGATGCAGGGCCAGCCCCTCAGGCTGGATGGGCCCATGGACACCCTCCCCCTGCATGCTGGATCCTGTGCATGCAGCGCTTCTGGCTTGTTGGGGACTAAATCACATGTGGTGCTGTATGTGGCCAGTTTGGAATGGGCACAGCATGTGACACCTGCTCCAGCTGGTTGGGAACCCAGCTGGAGAAGCTTAGCATACTGGGGGCTTGGCTGTTGCCATACAAACAAGCCACAGTGCTATGTTTTTTCTTACAGTGCTGCCAGGGCTCCAGTACTGATGCTGTCTCCCAGGTGCTTGCCAGCCAAGTGAGAGAGAGTCACAGTGCTAGACCCCGAGTAGCACCACAAGAACAAGCTCAGTATTGCGGGTGCCTGGCTGCAGCTGTGGGAACAAGATGCAGTGCTGGGTATGTTCCCACAGTGTTGCTGGGGCCCCAGCACTGTGATTCTCACCTAGGTACTTGGCTGCCACCACAGGAAGGTACCCCATCACAGTCAGAGTTGGGGCAAAAGTCTGTGGGTTAGGTGACTGGGCTCTGTAGACCAGATCCAGCCTGTGGGCCATATGTCTGACATCTCTGATTTATACCAATGAAAACTGCCTGGCATATGGTACTTAGGCTAGGGACAAAAACATTACATAAATCAATCAGAAACCAGTTCAAATCTGTAACACAATGGAAGTTCAGTGCACGTAAACCACTTTAAAAATGCCCAAAACCAGTTTAAGATAAACCTGGATGGATGCAGTATCAGACTTAGGTTTAGGTTAAATAGGCTTATTGAACTTGTCCCAGAACTGCTACAGATTCAAGTTAACTCACAGCCCCGCAGCATCCCAGGATGGTCTGTACTAGGCCTGTGTGAATAGGGAAGTATTCAATTCAGATTTAGCCAATTCGGAGGACAGTGATTCAATTCAGTGAATTGAATCACCATCCCCATTCGATTCGGCTGAATCGGCTTTGAAAGATTCAGAGAGATTCATGATTTGGATTGGCCGGGGAGAGGCAGGCATATTCTCCCACAGCTCATCCAGCTGTGCCTGACTCTCCCCGGGCAGGGGGAGCCACAGGGGAAGCCCCGATGGCTACCCTGCCCAGCCCCTGCTTCCTGGCACTTAAAAAAAAAAAAAAAGCCTTGCACACTCTGGCTGCAGCAGTGGCCATCAGGGCCTCTGGGTGCTCATGGCAGAGCCCCCCGTGCAGTGCAGGGCAGTGGGGATCGCCCCCCCCCCATCATTAGGCACCCGCATGGCAGCTGCCCCATGGCATGGGTGCAGCACGGCTCGGCAGGGCGTTGCATACTGTCTTGGAGCTGGGGCCACTGGGGCTGAGTGCTGCCGGGCTCCAGGTGACTGCTGCAGCCAGTGAGTATGGAGCTTTTTTTTAAGTCCCGGGAGGCTGGGGCTGGGTACAGCAGCCATGGGGGCTTCCCCTGCAGCTCCCCCAACCCAGGGAGAGGCAGGCACAGCTGGAGGAACCACAGGAGAACCTGCTGCTGCCCAGCTGTGCCTGCCCCTCCCTGGTCAATCCGAATCTTTTCTGAAACTATTCGGATGCTTCAAATTGACTTGGAGCTTTTAATGGGTTGCCCGAGTCGATTCAGATGTGGAGATTTGGCCCCTGAATTGGGCCGAGTCTCCTCCGAATCGAATCAGTGATTGAAGCTTTGCACAGCCCTAGTTTGCACCCTGTCGCAGAGCACTTAGGTGCCCTGCTCCTAAGAAGGAAAAAAACTGCTAGGAAAAGAGTCCTAACAGTGAGTAAGGAGCCCAGCTGTTGATCACCAGGGCAACCAGGGTAGTTAGTACCCACACCTGCCAGCGGTCAGCTGAGAGGGCCGGGCCTGGCACATATAAACCCCAGGGCTGAGGCCAGGCTGACAGTTCCCTGCCAGCAGCCAGGGAGGAAGGAGCTCTTCCTGAGCAAAGCTGAGCAGAGAGGCCTGCCCGCACGTACAGCCCAAGCCCGGTAAAGGATGGAGCATCCCTGGGGTGTTTGGAGTAATGTGGTTGTAGCTGGGTGGCTCCAGTTTATGTTATAGCCGAGGGGCTTGTGTTTTGTTTACTGTTTAAGACCGGTGGTTTGGGTGAGGCTATTAAGGGTTGGAGGAGGCCTCATAGGGGATCCACAGCAGTGTGGGGGCCCTGGCACCAGCGCGGGCTCAGCAGTTGGGGTGCACTGACCCCAGCCCCAGAAAGGGAGCAGTTAAGAAGCCCCAGAGAGGGAACGCTATTAAGAAGCCCCAGCGTGGGTGTGGTGAGCCCCAGAGAAGGGGGCAGCACTTTGGAGAAGCCCCAGAGAGGGCGCAGAGCCAGATAGGGCAGCGCAGGGCCCAGACAGGACAAGGGGGCCACATTATAACAAGGCCGTGACCGAACAACGTCAATTCCATCTGTGAGGCTTGGGGCGTAGTAAAGGGAGGCTGGAGCCATGCATAGCCCATAAGGCTAGGGTGCCCCGAAACAACTGTGGTACCATCTATCTTGGAGCAGGACCTACCAGGGGTCCGGGAAGGCACGGGGTCTGAGGGTACAGCTAACCGTGACCAAGAGGGCATGAAAGGCAGCCTCCCAACTATATATTTTGTCATCAAAGACGTGGCAGGCGAGGATCGAGGGGGCCCATTGGGCCCACTTGGCACAGTAAGGGGGTCTTGGGGAGATCATGGCCATTCCCCAGGACCCCAGGCTGTGACACACCCCTTCCCCCCACCCTGCAAAGCTCCACCTCGTAGAGTGGGTAGACTAACCTTGGCCCAAGATGTCTGCACCAGCTGAGCAGGGAAGCATGCTCTAGCACCTCCTGGCTTGTGGTTTGGGCCACTGCAGGCATGTGGCTGCATTTCCGGAATCAAAAGTGACTGTCTATTCACTTACTTATCGGTTCAATCTATGTAGTTTAGACTAACCTGTGACGACTGAACTGATTCAGCCTCAGGTTTTTTGACTGTACTTATTAGTCTTAAAGGCTTTAGTCAGCTATACTCCTTCCATGTTCCCTATCACTGTCACTGCAGTGAATGGTATTTAGCTTGAACATTCAAAACAATTTTTAAAATTTCGGTTAATGCATCAGTATGTCCATTATACTGATAGTTACAACCCATATCAAAATAATTAAATCATCACAACAACCGAGTGTAGATTAGGCTGTAGGGCTGCGCCACATCTTTAAGCACAACCCAGAGGAAAGGAGCACTAATCCAGGGAGAGCACTGACTGAGAGGCATAATTCTTCTCTGAACTACTTGGTGCACATAAATGTGTCCATAAATTCCAGTTTGGATATTAACTCATGCCTTCTAAATATCGGTCCTGTTCAGTGGACACTGCAGTGGGTTAGTGAGCTTCAGTCAATCACACATCAAAAAAAACAGTGTTTTGAAATTTTTATTAAAATTAAACATATCCCAATCATCTTTTACTCGACCAGTTTCAAGTTTAAAAAAGCTCTTGTAATTCACACACACATGCAGACATTTTAGAAACAGAAAAGTCTTTGTTCTGCTTCGGTTTATGAAATATTTCCCCTGATGCTTCAATGTATGAATCACTGCAAAACAGTACGTGAAGATTATTTGCCAAAAAATAGTTGTGAATAACAAGATATGCTTGTTACAGCCCCAGCATGTTTTATATTCAGTGTTAGGAAATTATTATTAAATGTACTGTAGTTATCAGAAAAAACAGTATAAAGGAAGAAATGGTAAAAGATGTGATGGGATTTCTATCAGCCTGGAGTTCTGGAAGGTGTATGTGACAATTGCACCCAAGCCCCTTACATATTGAAAGTCTTCCTAACAAGGGAATCAATGGTTGCCTTTTTGTTCATTTCAATGACATTTGCCCAAAGCCACAGAGTGACAGAACTCAGCTTTCATTAAGGGATGTTCAGGGAATTGCTGGATTGCAGCAAACAACTGTCATAGTTAGAAGCAGGCTGATATACCCACGTACAATTTAGAATCCAAACAGCAACACATTTCAACAGTGTGCAATCCTTTCTATATTCATGTGCTTACCTGATAAATTAAAGAGTTTGTCTTTGTCTTCTTATTAGCATCAGCACCCAGTAAAAGTAAACATTCGGCCATAATGCTATTATTGCACTCCGTGCATGCTTTCTCCAGCATCACGTTTTTAATATCATCACTGTCCGCTAGTTTGGCAAAGCACTTACAACACAGGCTTTGACACTAAATAGGGAGAAAAATAATAGAAATTAGGGTAGCACACTTCAGAATGGTGCAGAATAAATGGACATGGACTTGTAAACAATAGAGAGAAGATACCTGTTGATTTCTCTGTTCAGTGAAAAACATGGACATCTGATAGAAAATTACTGTGTCAAATGATTCATGTATCAGCAGCTTAGCAAAACAAGGTGACAAGTCAAGTATTGTCAAGACTGTGCGAAAACCCTACAAAGATAGTAAAATGATGTGAACAGCAACAAAAAAATTAAAGGTAGACAAAACAGACAAATCCCATCAGTATACCTCTGTTTCAGTTTTAAAACATGCACACACATGGGACTGCAAAATGGACAAATGCGTAGTAGAAGGCCTGAGTACCCAGTATGTTTAGTCTTATTCTGATGACCCATTTATATAAACAAGTGGTAGTTATTTGGTGACATTTTGAAAAGCCAGCTCCAGACCTACTCCAGGGTAATGAATATCACATCTACTGTTATAAAGCAAAGCCATGTAACTTTAGGTAAAATAAATAAATGAAATATTATCAACATCTTAGGCCCAACATTTTAATTAACTGAAAATTTATTTCTGTAAAAGTCTTAATTTCCAGATTACCTAAACCAGTGATTCTTAACTAAGGTGCTGCAAGAATTGTGAAGAGGTAAGCAAGGTGTGAGGAGATAAGCATATAAAGGCAGACTCAAGATTCAGGTATGAGAAGGTAAGCAGATAAAGATAGGCTTGAGCTCTCCCTGCCTAGCTGGTCCCAACTTCTCTCTGCAAGGAGGGAAACCCTGTAAATTAGTTTTTGAAATGGGGTGCTGCTCAATTCACAAGAGTTATAAAGGGCTGCCTGGGAGTCTAGAAAGGCTAAGAACCACTGATCTAGACTATGATTCCAAGAGAAGAAAACAAAACAGGACCTGAATCAATTCTCAGCATGAACAGAGCTATACATGCATTCATGGAGTCAGATTGTGCATGGTGGCATACGGCCAAACCATTTCTGGCTCTGGCATGAACACATGAGAGAAGGAAGTCACAAAACCTCTCCCTTTTCTTCTGTATACACTGTGCAAGGGTCAGACAAAATAATATTCCAATGTTCAAAAACTGCCAGCTGCCTCCTATTAATTTGCGCAGAACACTTGCCACACAAAGCAAATGAGTGAAGGGGACAATGCCCTGTCTTAGCATGGTTGCACTATAATGTTAAAAAAAAAAAGTTTGTTAAAAATACTGAGGGTGAATTTAAAAACCAATGAGAAAAACCCTGCAGATTGCAAAAGTAAAATCTGATGCAATAAGTCAGAAATGGATGACACAGACTAAGTATAAGAACATTTGTCCCAAACACATTGAGACTGAATCATCTGTCTCTATGCTGATCACTAAACTAAGCTTGAAATGAAAAAAGGGAGTTTGTGAGGGAGAGGCCATACTTATGATATTTCCAGTGTGGGCTGAAACTAAAGTACTGGAACTCTCACAAAAGAGTGACCTCACATGATAATTTTGCTCCATGAGAAATATTTAGCTAATGACAAACAGGGAAAGCCTCATATCTGCAAGAGGCAGAACTTTCATGGGAGCCACACCAACTCCAACACTACACCAACACTTGCATAGGAGCTACAGAACTCACTGCCAGATGGAATAAAGAGTTTTATCATCACCGTGTTCAAAACCGTGTGTGAAACCACCCAACCCTTTCAATACATCATTCTCACAATAGCTTTCTCTCAGACAACCATCTATATTTATAGTTAAAACATCTTTACAATAACTGTAATCTTTTTGCAGCAGGTAGGGCTAGAAAACAGATGCTTTCATGTTTACTTTCATAAAACACACTCAGGTACCACAATGATGGGCACTTTATAAAATGGTAACAGATTAGAAGGCTGACTGACAGATGGTTATCAAGGGATTTTTACTCTGTTTTGCAGATGGTACAGATTTAGATCAACATTAAAACTTGTAGTTGCACAGTTCTGGACTGAATTCATGCTTTCACTATAACAACCTGCATCACTGAAACATGCATCACTATAACAACCTCAAGATACTGCTAAGAGTTTGTCTGCTTTGCTATCATAATAAAATAAAAAACAGGTATTTCAAATAAAGATCTACAATTCCGGTGATTTAAAAAAAATAAAACTGTTCCCATGTACACACTTCTTTCATTCATTATCTTTGCAGTAATAGATACCACATACGTGCATCTGTATTTCGGTGACTTCGTTAAACCTCCGTAAACTAGAAACCAGAACTGTTGCCAGCACATGCATAGTAGCGATACACAAACTCTTTCTTGTAATCAAAGATCCTAGAAGACTCAAACCCAAACACTGTATTTCTAGAAAAAAAGATCGATTTAGTTAATTACTGATCCTCAGAGAGACAAGTATGTAGTACACAAATATGCTGTAAACTTACACAGGTTAAGATTCAGGTTTACGTAAAAAAGATCTTCCTATATACCTTGATCATCTGGATACATCTGTAGTGTGTGAAGTATAGTATCTGTAGCACCTTGCTGGGATAAAATTTCTAATGCACCAGAGCATTCTGCTACAGATGAAAGTATTTTTAGTCCACATCTCTGAATAGCAGGATTCCCAATAAACTAAAAGAGAAATGAATATAAAATAAGGTGATCACAGTCTTTTCTCTGATATTCAATGGTATAAGGAGAGTTGCTTATGATTCCTATTTCCAACAGCTGTGAAATTATAGCTGATCTGACAGCAATTACTGGAATTAAATATTCAAACCTCTCTATTATAACTCCCTTCTTTAAAATTTTTGTCTTTTAAGCTGAAATTTTCCATGCTTGAATTTTTTTTCACGAGTGCTTTTTTAAGGAAGTTTGCTCAGAAGCTATTCAGCTAGAAGAAAATTAAAAAACCCCACCCTAAAGCAGACCTGTTATTTAAGACATTAAAAAGTATAAATAAAGAGTTCTGTAAAATATGAGACAAGCAGATAACAAACTTGTAAGACTGTCAGAATATTTTGGGCAAGGCCTAGTATACACATAAGCTATTAAAACATCTCTTTTTCAGCTAAGTGACCAATTGATGACTGGTCTTCTCTATTTCCTTTTTTTTCATTTGTAGTCTAAAGACTAAATTATGAAAGGGAACTTCAGGTGTTCCAAAGCCCTGTGGATTCTGATAAAATCTGTGGCTATCAGATTTGCCATTTTACTGATGTGCCTCAAAATTCAGCATCTTTATCAGAATTGCTATTTTACTGCAGTAAGGAGTCAGCTGCTTTGTTTTCTCCCCGCTCAGCTAGAATACGCTTGCAGGCCTCTTGTTCTCAAAGTTTCCCGTTAAGGCATTATAATGAGCCCACCCTTCCCAATAGCAAGGATAAAGGGGTGGGGTGGAGGGAGGGAGCCAAAAAAAGTTTCCATTGGCAACAAGAAATCTGTTTTCTAGTAAACCACATTAATGAACTGCTGCTGGATATTCTGTTCAAACTACTTTAAATTTTAGCTTACACAGGGCCTGGATAAGATGGTCTTTAAATTTACAAAACATCATCCATTCCATAAAAAATTCAACAGAGCTGTGTAAAGAATACCACAAGTTTTCTAATGATTTCTTTTGAATTATTTTTAGAATAACTGCAAAGATGAACTTTTTGACACATTTCAGAACACAGCAGAGTAAGAAAAAAAATAAATGCAGCTGGACACAGAGATGAGAGTTAATTTATTTCATCTTGTTTATGAAATCAGTAAGAAAATCACTTTACTGTACTCAAAGCAATAAACAACACCCACAACTATAATGCACAGACTAAATTTAAACAGGATGAAGACTTTAACCATACCCTGTTCAAAGCATCAAGCACCAGTGTGTGAGTCCCTTCCAGCAAACACTGGTTTTTAATTACTTTTAAAGTAAGATCCAGGTCAGCACCTCCCACAGCTCTGAATGGAGTGTTTGGCTGTTCTTGCACTGTACCTATAACACAAAGAGAAATGTTTTTCAGGAAAACAGTTTTAATTAAACTTCTGCGGTTATTTACAAATAACTCATAATGCTTAATTCTGTTTTTGCATTCACAACCATTTAACAATACTGACTTGAGTTACTCCACATTTACACTGGACTAAGAACCTAGTGTTAGCACTCACAGTTTCGTCATGTTGCCACTTACTGTAAATTAATTAGTATGGCAATGAATGTTGGTTGTGATACACTGCAAGAAATTACTTATTTGAGCTCTATGTTCCTCAGTAGCCCTACTACCTAATTCAAAATGCCTCCTTCTTTTGGATATTTTTGAAAGGAAAAGACTAGAAATAAATCCTTTTCTTCCTAGCAGCACATTAGAAACCAAATCATACCCATAGACAACATCAGTGGAAGGTGAGTACACATAAAAGAGTACACATTTCACTTCTGGAGATTTCAGCACTCATGACCAAGTAGCACTACAGAAAGTACTTTGAGATTGTTTCAAGGACCCTTCTGTATTCAAGTTTCTACTGATTATTTTGTCTTATAAATGGCCTTTTCTTCACATGTTATGCTTCAAATTCCAACTATGATTATGTGGAAATGAAAAAAAAATGTGTCCGTTATTACTTCATTATGCTATACAAACACTCCCAGCATTTTAGCAAAAGACATTTTCTCTTGCTTCTCTTCCTATAGTAAATACTTCACATATTAAATATCCTGTTTATTGAATGGAGAAATAAGAACACTATAACACAAGTGAAAAGAAACTGAAATCTGAGTTAATATAAATAACCTGCTGTCGCGGGGCACCTCGCTACCCCGCTCCTAAAGAGGGAAAAATTGCCAGAGGAAAAGCTCTGGCAGTGCCTAAGGAGCCCTAGCAGCGATTAGGGAGTACAGCTGTGGGTTGCTGGGGAAACTAATGAGATTCAGCTGCCTGTAGGAGGCAGGGCCTGGCCTTTATAAAGCCCAGGGCTGAAGCCAGGCTAGCAGTTCCCTGCTAGCAGCCGGAGAGGCAGGAGCTCCCTTGGCCAGGATATAGGGAGAACCCTGATCACAAGTATAGCTCGCGAGAGCTCCAGAGGCTGGAGCAATGATGTTGAATTACAGCCAGGAGGCTTATGTTGTTATGGCCCAGTGCCTTGTGTTTTGATTATAGCCAGGAAGTTTGGGTTTTGTTTTGTTAGTGTTTGTATTACACCGGTGGCAAGGGTGAGGCTATAAGGGGTTGGAGGAGGCCTCATAGGGGCCCCAGTGCCTGAGGAGGGCACAGCGTACTTATAAGGGCCCACAAAGTGTGGGGCCCTAGCGCCTGGGAAGGCGCAGTATTCTCAGGGGCAACCCCAGCGGTGAGGGGACCCTGGCGCCAGTAAGGGCGCAACTTGCGGGGTGCGTAGACCCCAGCCCCAGAGAAGGGGCGGCATTATTAAGGAGCCCAGCATGGGCACAGCAAGTCCCAGAGAAGGGGGACTATTGAGAAGCCCGAGACGGGCGTAGCGAGCCCGGTTGTAGGCTAGTACGGCAAGAGCCCTCAGATAGGGGCAGGGTGCTGCGGTGGACCCTGATGGAAGGGGTTAGTGGTACAACTCCCCAGGAGAAAGGCAAGGTGCTGCGGTAGTCCCCGGCAAAAGGGATAGCAGTGCAGTGAGCCTGGATACGAGAGGGTAGCCGTGCGGTGGGCCTAAAGGACCAAAGACTTGGTAGGGAGGCCCGTAGCGGGCTAGGTTATTTTAGAGAAGGCCCAGAGTGGGCTCGACGAGAGTCCCAGTGAGGGGCCGTATATTAGAGAAGGCCCGGGAGTGGGCTAGATGACAGAGGAGGCTCGGGGGAGCGGGCGTGTATTTTGACAGACCAACATCCAGTACATCTGCAAGGCTTGGGGCGTGGTAATAGGGGTTGGTAGGAGCCACGCGTAGCCCATAAGGCTAGGGTGCCTGGAACGCACCCAGTGTACAGGGAGACCCCTGGTGGGTCCGGGAGAACACGGGGACGGAGGTCCCAGCTAACCGTGCCTAGGAGACGTAAGGCAGCCTCCCAACTTAACTCAAGATCAAAGACGTGGCAGGCAAGAATAGAGGGTGCCCTTGGGCTGAACAGGCACGGAGAGGGGGCCTTAAGGGGATCACGGCCCTCCTGAAGGACCCCGCCGTGACACCTGCATTTTAATCAAACTGTTTAAAAATATTTGTTTTTGTTGATATTTATTTAACTAAAGTGACATATGCACATGCAGAAAGCTGTCTTGAATTCATCTTCCATTAAGATTAAAAAGCTGCTACTCTAAAGAGACTACCAGCAAAATCAGAAAAAACAGACTAAAAATAAGGTGACAAACAGGAAACACACTTTCAAAACTTTTACTAACCTTGTCCAACCCTTCTTTTTCTGATCTCAAAGAACAAAAGAGAACACACATTTTCTGCTGGCAGATTGCCTTTAAGAAATGTCTTCTCAAGATCTTCCTAATCATTCAGTTTGGCTGTTTGTTTGCTGGAGGCAAGAGCTGATATAGTTCAAAACTTGAAGTTGTTCCCCCAACTTCTTGATATTAGCAGACAAGCTAGTGATGATATTCTATTTGACTCTGTACTACAGCAATATTGGTAAATCCATTTTGACAGAAAGTTCATTATTACTGCCTATTATCATCTATGGTTAAGGTACAAAATGATGGCAATGGATTCATACTTCTTGAATCCATCAGTAATGGCACAGTAAGCAGCAATGGCCCGAATTCATCATTGTTGATGAACAATCAAGAGTGTTCCAGCAGTGATGAATAGAACCTGAGATGGTGAATGCCTTCCAAGCTTTTTTCTACCTTTTCCTCTGTTCCTAACTTTTCATTCACAAAAGTTTTTCAATGTTAAGACCTAAATAAAAATCACTGAAAAAGTCCAACCTGAAGGTTGCACCGTGAAATAAGAAACAATGAAAAATTGCCTTCTTACTTCTCCCATTTGATGTATAATAATCTTATGTCAACTGTTTTCCTTTGATGACTTACCAGTGACCATAAAATGTAAAAGGACTCGAAATGCCTCCAGCTGAACAGATGGCAACTGTTCATGTTTCTTCATAGCTTTTACAACTTCTGACGCAGTAACTGTCATTACATCCAGATGGAGGAAACTGAGAAAAAATAATAATTTATAAAATTAATAAAAATAATGTCTTTCTAAATTGTACGCTTGTTTATTCTGTTAAACAGCATTAAGTGGTAGGAGTTTTGTATACTGTAAATCTCAATCTCACAGTAAACAACTTCCTCTGGAGTTTTCTTCCATTTAGCAAATCCATTGTTTTGCTTTTAACCTTATTTTATAATTCAGCATGAAACTATTTCTGTCCTGGAACAATCAGAAATAAGTTTTTAACGTAGTGCAGGATAGTAACATACTTGTGGTAGGTTATTTTATTCTTGGGGATTGAACTGCACATTTCACATGTACCAGTTTAGACTCTGGTCAAGATACATGAAAGGATACATGTTCTCATTAAGTTCCATTTCCTCATAATTTATATATGTTGTCAATGAATGGATTACAAATACAATCTAATACATTTGCATTTATATTTTAAGACAAAAAAAATTCTAGCTTGGTATTAGCAATCGGTAGCAAAGAGCCTCTAATTAACTTTCAAGGACATTTTCTTTATTTGTTTGAAAGTATTTCTTGTTATTTTAAATATGGCAAAATTAGCTGTTAAATACGTCAGGGCTGCTGTCCTAGATGACTTGCAATTCACTTCATTCATTCATTCCTCTTTCACTCTTCAGTAGCAATGTTTCCTTTAGAACAGGGATGCTCAATTCCTGGCCTGCAGGACAAATCTGGCCCATGAAGACATGGCATTCAGCCCACAGGCTTCCTCAGGCATCAGGAAATTGGGGACAGGAAGTAGTGGCAATGAATACTGTCACCCCTCCCCGAATGCCAAATTCCCAAAGCCTGTATGGCTTGATTAGGGCCAGGCCGTGCCCCTTACCCCGACACAGCAGGATTGGGGCAGGCCATGCTCCTTCCCATGCTGCCAGATGGGGGTTGGGCTAACCCCCAACCCTCCCTCCTGCAGAGGCAGATCAGGCCCCTTTATTTGGTACTTTAAATTATTTGCCACAAAATGTCTTTGAATCATTCTTATCCATGAAGAGCTTGGTATAAAAGTCCCATAGGATATTGCTGTTCCTTAACTTATAGATACAAACTTAGAATCAAGTTCCTAATGTGAATACTTATGTTTATGAGTTTTACATTTGTTTCCTGCTAATATTTTGCATTTTAGGCAACATACTGGACAATAAATTTATGTGTTAGAATAGTCACAGAAATTAAGTATAAAAAATAGGAACACAATCAAAGTTATTTTAACAAATGGAATGGTTATTTGTAGAAAAAGATTTCAATATTTACCCAACAATAAATGGAATTTACTGTAGTTTAAGGGCAGGCCAGAAGGTCCATTCTGATCTTGCTGTTCAGGAGATTCAGATACCCTCGTGAGTTGTCTCTGTAGCTACTCATCTGTACATTTGACCATGAGGCTTGGACATAGACTAGACCTTGGGTCTGGAGTTAATTTTACTCTAGCTGTCAATTTTTATACATTTAAAACAATTATAAAACTGGATTCCCACATTATTCAGTCTTGGAAGAGATCACAGGACTATAAAAATATATTACCTTCCTTCAAAAACATGATTCAGCATTTTGCAGGCACTCTCAGCAACTTCAGGGGCATGCGAATATTTCTTCATTATGTCCAAAACGTTCATGTGTATTCCTTTTGCCAAAAGAACCTTTCTAATACTAACTACAACACAAAATTACAAATAGTGTATAAGCAAACATGTATATAATAATTTAGGTTGAGATCCTGAAAATATCCGATGCATGTCTTTAATTTTGGTTAATTTTCAATAGGACAACTCATATTTCTGAAAAAAAGTTCAACAGGTGTGCAAGAGCATTGGTTCTCCAAAACCTATTTTCAAATAACTTCCATATACACAATCACATACTAGACTGGGACTTGGGGCTAAAGTAGACTTGTGTTTGCACAATTATACATTTTATAATTGCTTAAGTACCTAATAAGTGCAAACATGTTCCCTATGTCTATCCATGTCAAGTTATTATTATGGAATTCAGGGGTATAGGTTGCAGCCATGTTGGTCTAAGGACATAGGCAGACAAGGTTCTTTGGGTGAATCTGATATCTTTTATTAGACCAACTCAAATAATTGGAAAAACTCTTCTTTGCAAGCTTTCAGGTACAAATACCCTTCTCGTCAGGCTGAGGAAGCATCTGCAGTTGGTGTGTGCTCTTCCTGTATATTATGGAGTTCAGAGCTTATCACTCAGTTTCTTTATGAAGGTAGGGCCAGGAAAGCCACGCGCATGGTGTGGGGGCAGGAAAGAGAGAAGGGGAGCAGCGATCCCCATTGGCAAGACCTGTGGGGCATATGGCCCTCAAGTACTTGGAAGTTGGACTACCCTGATCTAAACTATAGCTATGATTCTGAAAACACACATGCATTTCTAACTTTCAGTATGCGAGTAGATCCACTGAGGTCAAGAGGCCTGATCACATCTGAAAGTTAAGCAAGCATGTAAGTGGCTGCAGTATTAAAGCCATAATCATAGCTCAGATGACTTCAGTCTTGATGAAATTGAAACTTGGTCAGGGACTGAGGAAATTAAACATGGAAAGATACCTTCTCTTCTCTGTCCACCTCACTCTCTAAAAATTGGTATTTGCTGGCTAAAATAAACTAATGGTTCATCATTCGAAAAAAGTCTCCCATCAACAGTAGCTAAAAACAGATGCATCAGAATAAGAAATACACTTGTTACAATATACAATTGTATAATATCAAAAACAAAGAAAAGTATTCCGCAACCCAAAGGGGTGACAGTATTACATGACAGTACACTCTTAATATCCCAAAATACTACAGTAATAATGCACTACTGAAGTCTCAAAGTGAAGGTGAACATAGTCCCTTACCATTTTGTTTGGATAAAGTTGCCAATGTATTAGCAGCTGCCTGAAACACTTCTTTCGATGTCGAATGCATCAGCATAGCTAGCATCACTTCTCTGTGTGCTGGGTACCTTTCACAAGAGAAATAAATTACTGAAAATTACAATGATTACCTTATAATTTTAATATAATAAAAGGCTGAGTCCGTCTGTCCCTAACGCTTTTGCCCAACTGTGCATGCTCCAAATGGCTGCGCAGGCCAGGGGCGGGGCTAGCTGAGTTAAAACGGGAGCCCATCTGCCGGCCCTGCCTCCTCCTGCAGCCTCCAGTGTGGCAGCTCCCTCCGCCCCACCTCCACATATGGCAAAAAAATAACTTGGCACGAGCACTTTACACGTGGCGGGGCCAGCTGAGGAAAGGCAGGAGCCCCTCTGTTGGCCCCACCTCCTCCTTTAGCCTTCGGTGTGGCAGCTCCCTCTGCCCCACCTCCACAAAGGAAAATAAATAAATAAATAAATAAATAAATTGGGTAGAGCACTTAAAAAGCAGCGGGGCTAGCTGAGGAAGAGTGGGAACCTTTCCACTGTAGTGGGGCTGGACCTGAAGGGGGATTGGAGGGGGCGGGGTCAGACTCAAACCGGCAGGGGGGAGAGCAGGGTGGGGTCAGACCCTAACAAGGAGGGGGAGGGGGGACAGA